ACGATAACTCGTGCTAAAGATCAGTGTCTTCTTTTTGAAGCTGGGCGAGTTTCAGGGGGTCGATTCCTTTGTAACTGTTCAAGGAAGTTACTCGAGACAAGGCGTCTGCGACTACACTGTTTACTCCAGAAATGTGTTGAGTTTCTGAAGTAAACTGCGAAATGTAGTCCAGTTGTCGAGACTCACGAGGTAAGTACTTGTCTGAAGGAGAGCCTAAAGAGAAGGTAAGTGGATCGTGGTCAGTGTAAAGGGTGAATTCTGGGCCTTCGATATAGTGTTGAAAATGCCGTACAGCACAGTACGTAGCTAGGAGTTCTCTACTGAAAGTGCTGTGCCTCAATGCAGTGTCTAGCAACCGTCTAGAGAAAAATGCCAAAGGTTACGTGGAATGATTAGCCCATTGTTGTAGGACTCCTCCGATTGCTGAGTTGGATGCGTCTACTGCGATGCTAATGTTTGCTTCGGTGTACTGATGAGCAAGCATTGTTGCTTTAGCGATAAGTTCCTTAACTGTGGCGAATGCTTTTCGCACAGTGTCGTCCGGCTTTATGGATTTCGCTTTTCCACGAAGTTGGTCGAGTAGCGGTTTCATAAGGGAAGCGCATTTTGGTACGAACCGCCTATAGAAACTTACAGGGCCGTTAAGCGTGCGTAATTGCTTGATGGTGGTCGGTTCTGGGTAATCTAGAATGACCGCCACTTTGGTTTTAAGTGGTCGGATGCCTTGCTCACCTATAGTGTGTCCTAGGAAGTCTAATGAGTCAGTTCCGATTCGGCATTTCTGAATGTTAACAGTAATGCCATGTTTTTGTAGTCAGTCGAAAACGAGATCCCTTTAGAACCTTTATGGAACTGTAGGCTAAGGAACAATCGAATATTTCTCTACAAAGCATTATATGAACTCTCATTTCTAACCTCCTGCCCAACTATGACCCATGACCCAGCCTGTAGACTAAGAAACAACGCATGTACACTACTTACCGTAAAACACCAAAAACAAATGCGTTGTAGGCTTTTTACAGTTAAGCATAGTTTATTGTGCAACAGGTTGTCAATACCCTTCCGTAACTGTGACACTTTTACCAAATTCAAAAGTCTAATGACACTTTTCCTTGACACTGAAGAGCTGCATCAACTATTCCCTGAACTTCCGCTCACCAATGAGGCAATTTATTATGGATCGCCTAATATCTAGACATATCATGAATATAACAGACTCGATTGTCATTAATATGAATATAAACAAGTGACAGAAAACATGTTTTACTCTCTCCCATTATTCATTGATTATTAGTTATGCCATTATTCTCTTACTCCTCACTTCCAGATTCCGAATCTCTCTAATGGTTAAAGATACATTATGCTTACTAAGTGACAAGTCCTTTTTCTTCTGTTACAAGTAGAGAGATAACTCACTTGTCTTATGGATGCTGATCAGCAAGTGCCGACTACAAGAAGCTAATAATGTCCTAAATTCTTGTGAATTGCTCAATGTTTTGTTGTTTTACTCCGAAAATTTTACACTCCCAAACTCTTGCAGATTCTTTGATTTACTATCTGTCTTTACCATCTCTTAACCAAATATAATCTGACCTGGGTTTTTCAACTTTTTCTGTGTGAAAGTGAGATTAGAATTTGTGTAGAAGGAAAAAAATTACAACCCGTATGCATATGTTGGTAGAATAAATCGTAAATACATAAACATGTGAACAGTGAATAACCTCTTCACTCACAATGGCTTGTTCATGATTACATCTAACTTACCATAAATGATCCTTTCAAATCTCATAGAGACCACATTATTAATTCTATCTATGGATTTCATTTTGATGGTTTGGTTGATGTCACATTTGTATCATAGTTCAAGAAATACAAAGATGTATTCAAGGTTGACCTAGAGATATTTGATCATGCCGCAAAGGTCAGAGTGTTGCTACGCAAACTTCGCACAGCAGGACGTGAACGCTACACCAATTGACATAATTGACACTGTTTGAAATAACATTCATTTCACTTGTCTTCTGTCTTCTCATTTTTGACTCGGGAGGGTTCTGACGTCTGAGTTCTCAGGTTATACGCGGTATGTTAAGAATCAAAAGCTCTAGATATAACGATAAAACACTAACATAGTGTATTGCGGTATGCGTTGCTGATGTCGACAGACATAAGTAGTATATATCATCAATCGAAAGTGGAATGCCTGAAGGCAGAAGGCTGAGAAGATCGAAGAAAAGAGAACGAGAACAGAGAATGATTGGTATGGAAACGAAGGAACAACAAAGTCTGTGACAGTTGATAAGTATTTTGCAAATGAAGTATTACTGTGTGGTTCCCAGATTTCGCTAAGAGATCCCCATTTTCATCTTCCGTCACAATATTATTCGTCTACTTTACCAAATGTCGGATAATTTCTGGACTATCTACTGAATTGAACAAAGCAGAGCGAAGGGACCATCGTATTCTAAACCAATGGTTGTGATACCATGCTAGACATGTGGTTTGATGACTCTAGATTTGTACTGCTGTAGGAATTTGACTCCTGAGAAATAAAAAATTACAGTGCAAATAGCTAATCAGTTCCCCTTAAGTTCTATTGGTTACTTGTTTAATGTGTAGTGTCAGTCATTATTCGAAGCCCACAATATATCTTATTCTAGTTTTTGGACAAACCAATCTATTCATTCTACTTCAGTCATATTTTGACCTTGTCAGTTATTCGCTCATCAGTCTTGACTGTTTTTATATGAGCGTATATGTGTGCACACTTCATATCCCATGTCTCGTTACATGTCTGTAGTTTATTTTGTCTGCCTATAAATATTGAGTAACGCCTGGCTAGAAATGGAGTTGGCTTACCAGCCATCTCCCTTGCGCGTCCTTTTTGCTGTGTTCTATCGCATTCACTTTACATATAAAATATATGTATACGAAAGTTCATTCTCGTCATTTGGCTTATCTAAATCCGTTATTAACTAACGCGATTAAAGTCGATGATTATATACGAGGATAGGTGATAACTAATATTCATGCGATCTAAATGGAGTCAGATCAACGGGCCACTAAATTGGTGAGCCCTTTCGACAACATCGTTCGATCTAAATGACGACAAAATTACGGGCTCCACTAAAAATTGTTTCACTAAATAATGAAAACCAATTTTTACGATTGAAAAAGTTTCTTGAATTACCAAATCGAAATTCTCCCTTTGTTGTTTCACCATCCTTTTTTGATGTTATATATCTAATTAATCATCGTTTATCACTGTTACTAGAAATTAATGAAGATTAGACCAATACACCGCCACTCAAGTAAAAATCCACCATGGTTTACGCTTATTTGATATGAAGATATAGAAAGATAAGCTGACATTCTTTCATCTGAAATCATGTAACTGAATCCCAAAAGGAAGATATCTATTCAAGGAGGAGTAAATGATATACTCAACAAGCATGGACATATTACTAGCCTGTGCTCATAATTAATCTCAAGGTCATAGTGTACATAATATATCATAAGCGAAGTAACCTATGCAACTACCCAAGGTCTTATGGTGTTCAATATAGACATGTTAAATCCACATGAGTGTATACTCAATTTGGAATGCAATATCTGACAAATCACCTAACAATTAAATGAATCAATTCAATCCAAATGGTCAACTTGCGGTCAGTAATGTAATCATGTCGAATATTTTATTCCTAAATCCTTCTACAATACTTTTACCTGGTTCCCTATCTTTTTTATTTATTAATTATTACTCTTCACGTTTGTATAGGAAGGGATATTGCATGGTATAAGAAGCATGTATCATTACCAGATTGGATTGTAGAATATAACACAAACATCTTCAATAAAAAACAGTACGATCCTTCATTGTCTAAACATTGAATAAGTTCCAATCAATATAGTAACAATATTGATAGGTTGGAATTCTTTCATACATAACAAATTAGAATGAACATAATAGATCGACTAGTTTTCAATCATTAATTTCTTTAAAAATAAAAAAAAATTCCGCAAATTTATTTAAACAATAGAAAAAATGTAAATGACATAAAATATGATTTACATTAAAAATTTGTAGGCAAACAACCATAATGTAAAAAAAATTTTTCCTTTTTTTTGAAACAAAAAGAACCGTACTCACAATCATTATTGTTACTGGGATTACTTCGTACTGGAACAAACGAAGTAAATTTCAAATATACATACGATAATATCGATGAAAAATTAATGTGGAGGGAAATCTTATTTAAAAGAAAAGAGGAATATGGAAGAAAAAAATAAATACCTCACTGTATTAAATATTCCATTGAAGGTTTTTTCTTTGAAGCAAACAAGCGGAATGAAAATACATTTCTTTTTATTTAATTTCTCTCATCTAACATATACACTAGCAATTAGTAGTTCAATCCATATTAAACATCAAGTGATGTTAAAAGAATCCAATCACATATATAAATTGATATTTCCTCTTTGAATGGATGGTAGACTATAATTTATGGATGACCTTTGAGTGATGCTTAAATGACCTCAAGAATATCTACCCAGTTTATGAAAATAAAAAGCGGTCATAATTAGGATTAGGATCTTTAGTTAGAAATCAGGGTTACGAATTAAATTTAGGGTATTCATCATGAATTGACATTAGCTATCGTGTCAAAATACTGTATGATCATATTAATAAATGAAGTTGGCGTCAAAATCCATGACATGCTGCCTCTAAGTTCATTGGTTCAAACAAAGAAAGAAATAGTAATCAATTTGTAATTCAATGGTTGTTAAATTAAAACGAACATAAATGACATAGATGGTTAATTATTGCAACAAATTATGTAAGAATTAGTCGTTTTCAGTTATGAACTCCTTCGATTATCGCCGCTTCCTTCTTTTTTTTTCTTCATTTAAACTAATATCCTTTAACAGATTAAATCAACATAAATTTTAAAATAAATAAAAATAAAAATGATAATTTACAATACAGAGTTTACAATTTAATAGGACAATTCAATATTTAATCTTATTATGAAATCAAATCAACCAATGATTGAAACATATTCTTTATTGATGATGGGAGAAAACAAAAGAAGAAATGAGTTGTTCATTTGGAAAAAGAAAGTTTATTCATTACTGCTTGTAACAAACAAGACAAGACACTGTTCATAAGCCACTGAGTTTAATGATGTATTTTATGATATAATGATGATTGATAAGTTCATAAGTAAAATGCTTATTGAATTACTTTTTTTACTTAAATTACATACCAAAACCAATTTACCTTTTTGTATAATTCAAGAAGAAGGAGAGATAGAGAGAGAGAGAGAGAGAGAGAGAGAGAAGAGAAAGGAAGGAAGTGGTTGGGAAAGGAAAGACAAATTGTGAAAAATGAGTTGTAAAAATAAGCATACTCATAATCAGTGAACAATTCAATATAAAATTCTTTAATGAATATACATATTGCATAAACCAAATTAAACTAACCCTAAACCAAACCAATTCAATGGTCATATTCATTAAAAATTATACATGTTCATGAATTGAATTCCCATTTGTAATATACACATTTTTTTGCCATTTATATAAACATAAAAAAATAAATTGACATAGAACAAATGTACCAATACCATAGGATTCAACATTTTGATAATATGTTAATGATGAACATTCATTCCATAATAATTCAATAATTTGTATAACAATACCATTAGCTAATTTATCAGTAAATGACATATAACCATAAACAAATGCCCCATGTTGTTGATATTTTCCTATTAAATCTGATACCATTGCTAATGATGTAATTAATATAATAGTACAACCGATACCAAGTATACCAGCAGCAATGTATATACGATGAATTATTGGTGGATTACCAGGATAATTAACTAATATACAAAATATTGTGACAAAAATTAATCCAATTCCAGAATTTGTCTGTAAGTTGATAATATTTTTTTTGTTAAAAATCCAAAAAAATTTATAAAATGGAAAAGTATTTGAAAAGAAAAACAAATTTACAGGAAAATAAAAAAATAAGACTCTGAATTTAGTAGCTGGGTATTATATTTAAAAGATGTCATTATTACCTTCTAAATGAGTTCATGATCTTCTTGTAAGGATCAATGAATAACAGTCATATTATTATATGATCAATATAATTCGATCAGCATTAAGGAACAGATAAACTTTGCAATGACTAATCAAAGTAAACATCTCAGTAGTACAGGACGACAATAACTATTTGCATAGGTATTTGGTAACGGTTCAAAATGGGAAATCTGGTGACCCAAGTTTTAATTTAACAGGGAGCATCAATCCCTTTAAGACTATAGAAATCCCTAACTAGAAAGCGACAAGTTCTAAGAATCTTAGGTTCAGCGTTTTCTGTTGACTTAAACAGATTACCTAACAGTCATGCTGAGAGTAAAACGGAGATTCATCAGCGACGTTGAATGATTGATAATCATAAGTTGCAGATATAAATTATTAGATTGTGAAACAATTCTTTAGTTGTATTGAGTGTACAGCAGTGAGTGAAAACTATTGGATTTGTCATTGCGATTAAATACACCCGGAGATAGTCATAAACTTTCCTGATTGAATTTCAAGGATACACTCTGTTAATAAAACTTATTTACGTTCTCAACAATATCCTACCATAAAAACACTTACAGAACAAAACAGTCATTAAACTGGATGTTTACAATCCCCTCAGTTGAAATAATGAGATATATTAAACAAATTCAGTTGCTGATTTAGTCAAAGTCGATTGATGATTCTGTAAAACTACAGAAAAACTTCAGTCACCAGTGCTCATCACCAAACTTTTCTCAAAGCTGATGATGAACAAAATAAGGCATGCATAATCATAAAGATTGGTGTGCAATTGTTATACTGTAGTGAACGAGAACACAAGTTGAGACAATCGAATGTTTTCAAACACTAAATTACAGAATTTCTTAGTAAAATCTGAGAGCCATACTGTAAATACTTAATTTGTAAAATATCAGTCAATCGTCTTAGACTTCATTTCCTCATCAATCATTCGCTAATCTTATTCTCTTGTCATCAATCTTCTCAACTTTCTGGCGCCAGGTATTTGACTTTCGATTAATGATACATACTACTTACATCTATCGATATTAGTAACACGCACAACAATACTTAATTAAAACTTTTCATTTTGAAAACGAGAATTCTGTTGATTTATTGTAAACTATGGGGATTGTGTAAATATTTATTTAAACAACGATATAAACATATCAGTAAAAGATATGACTGGATGAAACAGCAAAATTACATTTTTAACTCATTTCAATTCTTGTTCATCATTACCATTTTTAATCGAATATGATGATTATTTGGTGTCATATTTATTTGATATTCAGTGTGATAATTATTTAAAACATGATATTCTATGCATTAAATTAACCTTAAAATATGTTCAGCACGATATGCACCATACGGTTTTTTATGATCCTGGGTATTTTTCATATATGTGACTTTTTTAATAAATAATAATCAATTGTGTGTACAAAGTAATATATGACTAAGTGTATCTTCAACGATAGTTGTCGTCAACTTTCCAGGGTGAATAAATCTCCAGTTGTACCAGTCTTTCGTGTTATTACTTCGTATCGTGGAAATTGTAGTGGTTTTTTGTTTTAAAAATAAGCAATAAGCTTAGCCAATGGACCTAATCCTGGTGTGAAGACGATTAAAGATGGCCGCGCAACGTCGTGGATTGGTTGGGGTTAGAAATTAACACTGTTGTATGCTGACTCAGTGGTCTAGAATTTAAGCTTTCTCACGTGCGATCGAAGATCTTGTGTACGATTTTCGGTTATAGAGATTTGGACGCGCAGTGCTGAGGAGTCCCATATCAGGAAGAAACGGCCGTCCGGTTTCTGTAGGTCTTCAAAAATAGTCTAACTTAGATCGGTTCATGATTTTAATGCGATTCAACAATTTTCACAACACTATACTAAAAATAAACTATTGATTCAAGTAATCTTCTATGAATTTTATCGATTTCTCATTATTGCTGAGATATACAGTGTAACAATTTGAAACAATGCCTATTTTTCACTTCTTCTCTTACATTATTTTGACTAACACCGATTGATATGTATGTCTGAACATGAATAATAAACAAAAGAACTTACTTCACGACTGATAAGATCCTGTATTGGTTTTTGTACCATAGTAGTAGCAATACTTGTCAGGTACACTGTTAAAGGAACTAAAGCCATTGTAACTTTAGGTAAACGTAATGAATGTAAAAGGTAAATTGTTAAATAAGCCTGAAAATTAAAAAAAAGTTAACTCAATGTAAATGTACAAAAGGTTGACTAGTCTTCAATAATCCTTAACAAATTTCCACCAATTATTTAAATTAAGACATTAAAACGCATTGCGAATTTATTAAGGGTCGGAGAAAGTCGAAAACTAATTCTACCTTATATTAATTTTAAGAATGACTATCATAGTAATACTAAATCACTTTCTAATTACGGAAAATAAATTGGTTACTAACTAATAGAAATTCATCACGGTCTGGTATTCGTTGATTGATCATTCAAATTGTAGAATCCTGGATAGTTATTCTGTGCGAGTTTCAAAGCTATCAGTAATATGCACGAAAGATTTCGGCGAGACCATAATTTACGGATGAGCCAGTCAGAAGCGTTTGAGGGACTTCAAGGTCACTGCGCCATTTTCAGTACCTGGTGCTCACACACGATCGGTTTACAGTGGATTTTAGAGAAGACATGATAATTGAGCCACTACGACAGATGAAACTACTAAGAAGTTCCTTTATTTGTGACTGTGGTAATCAAATGACTGCTTTACCGTGTGCAAACTACCGTGATGAGATTGTCTTTTGATGCTATTTATGTTGGAGGAAGAAGTCTGCTCGAATAGGAACTTTCTTCGCTTGATCCCGATTGAGACTATAACAAATCATGATAATTGTTGCAAATTGGATAATTGAAGCACCAGTAACACTGGCTGCAACATTTGCAGATGTTACTGAAGCTTTGGCTATTCAGTGGTGTGAGTAATGTAGAGATATATGTGCAATAAAAACGACAATTTTACACGAGTCGTTTGCAGGAGTTGGGAGAATCGTTGAAATAGACGAAACAGTAGTGAGGAAGCGAAAATTTAACAGAGGACGTAGTATTAAGGAAGACTGGGTAAGTAGCACTTCCATAAATATACCTGACAGGTGCTTGGAATTTACGACAGATCACTCTAAAAGAGACAGTTCTAAAGGGTCAGAAACCGACAAGCAATCGCAATAATACCAATTATACGGGAATACGTACAGCCGGGTACTACAACATATACGGATGATTGAAGAGCCTATCGATGCCTGCATAGACTTGGTTATGTATATCATTTCGTTGTCCACAAGCGCCATTTTGTGGACCCTACAACAGGAGGGCACACTAACAATATTGACGCTATGTGGTCAAGGTTAAATGAATTTTTACGACCTTATCATGGCCCGTGAGGTCGACTATTATGGAGCCATATGGATGAGTTCCTCTGCCGTATGCATTACGATTTCAGAACCTCTGAACCTCTTTCACACCTTGATAAGTTTTTGAACCATGTAAAAGAAATATATCCACCTTAATTCTTTGGTTTTTTATAATAAACTTTACTTCATACTGTCTTCTGATTGGCTAATATTTCTCAAGGTCACTAAAGATTCGTTCAAAGGTCGTCTATAAATTATGGTCTCGCCGCAATTTCTCACGCAATTAAACCTATTAGCAACAGATTTTACGGTAAGTTTAATACTGGTGGTCTATATTTTTCTAGCCTCGTTCAATATCGATTGTAGTCAATAAATCACAATTTCCGACCAGAACTTTATGAAATCTGTTTTGAAACTACTGAGTAATGTGAACATATTCAGTATCCATACAGAGTGATTTCTTTTTTGCAAAGATTGCGTTCTTAGAAATGAGTGGCCAAACCATGATACTTTCAGTGCTTCTAGACAAAACTCAAAGGACAAACTACAAACAGAAGTGAACTGTGAGAATTTCTCGACGAGTAATTGGTTACTTGTCCTGCTGACTTTGGACTTGACTGACTTTAACATATCATTATCTGTACATTTACTTAGATTGTTTTCTTCTTTGACCTGATTATTGGTCTTATTGTGATGGTTCCTTTAAAATATCTTACCATTTGAAAGTTAGATTACAATGTTATCTTCATTGTCCTAACTTCCGATCAACATAAAGTTGCAAACATTCCCATTTTCCAATGAATATCAACTTGTGATTAAAATTGTTTTTCTAACGATTTACCTCCTTGATCATTTACTTATGAAGCATTTGTAAGAATTAAATGATTTGATTTATTAGAATACATGAGAAAAAATAAATACTATTTCTATTTGCAGCTCTTATTATTACTATTATCACTATTATTAGTAGTTTTACAACTTCACTTATCTTGGAAGTTTGATCAGCCCTGATGGGTTGGTGTCTGACGAAATTTCAGCACGGATTCGAAAAGCTCACTTGGCTTTTGCCAACTTACGTCACCTATGGCGAAGGCGAGATATCCGTCTATCAATTAAGGGACGAGTAAACTGCGCGGCAGTCCGTTCTGTTTTAATTTACGACAGCAAAACATGGCCATTAAGAGTAGAAGATAATCGTAAGCTACTAGTATTTGACCACAGATGCCTTAGAAATATTGCTCGCGTCTGCTGGGATCACCGGGTAAGTAATAGTGAGGTTAGACACAGGGTATTAGGGAATGATGGTAAATCAGTTGATGAGGTTGTGAATATTCATCGACTGAGATGGTTGGGCCACGTGTTACGTATGCATGAACACCGGTTACCAAGAGGTGCAATGCTAACCGGTGTTCGGGATGGTTGGAAGAAAGTTAGGGGTGGCCAAAACAAAACGTGGCATCAGTCCACAAAGTCACTAACTTCTAGTTTGAGCCATGTTGGTAGATGAAGATTACTTGGTTGTGGTCCGCATGACTATCGTAACCAATGGTTGGAGACTCTTGGTGACATGGCTCAGAATCGATCACAATGGCATCGGTGTATATACTCTCCGTCTTCCCTTAAACTAAGAGATTAAAATCGCTTCATATCTTTCTTTCTACGAACTAATTCTTTCTTCCTGTACTATATCCTTATATGCAATCTTTCTTTTATATATTACCACCTCTGAATTAACTATTTTTATGAATCCGGTGTTCATGTTGTTGTGTTAATGAGGTATGGCAACTCGGACCTATGAATATATGTGCCTGGTCCTACGTTGTAGCTGACTGACTGACTGATTATTATTAGTAGTAACATTTGTCCAGCTAAGTAAATGCTTTATGATTATGAAACCTTCATTATCATACTAGACAATATTATCGGTGCTTAGTTCATAGAATTCTCATTATCCTTAATGTTTCAATTTAAAATTTTCGACCTGATTCACCGATTTTACTAATACTGAAATGAGTTTTCTTATCTTAATGCTACAAGACAGTAATCTTGGTGTGTACCCTACATTTGTATATGAAATTCAATTGAAAATTTTACACATACTCGTTAAAGGTTAAAATTGATAGCGAACTGAGATAAGTTAAATACTGCAATTATAAAACATTATTGTGAAATGTATTTCGTTTTTATTTGAAATTCTTTATATACAAACAGATATACACAGAATACCTCCAGGTTGGAATCACTACTTTTAGATTTCATGTTGAATGCGTCAAAATTTTAGATTAAATTTGTAAAATTATTTATATAGAAAAACAGTATTAATTTATTCTTTCAATGTCTACTTACAATATAAAAGACCAGACTGATATAAAATGTTGGTCTGTTTTCGTACCTAAACTCCAATTATTCCAGCATACGATGGTTGATAGCATAGGATCAGATTGAGAAACAGTTAATGATAGCTAAACCAAGACATAGTGGTGTGGCAACTCGAAATGATGTACGTACGTACAAAGTTCTACGTTGTTACTGGCTGACTGACATAGTACCATTAAGTCATTGATTGTTAATCTGATGTATGCGTTTTTGAAAGATGTAAAGTTACAACTTCAAATTTATGTGATAATTCCAATTAGTAGTTAGATATGTTAAGTGATATGAATCGAAATCAATGATTTTGATATAGATTCAATTCGAATCATTGTGTATACTTTTTAATTATTGTTCGATTTCAATAGGGTCTTTTCTCCAATCTCGATTTTTCTTTTTTTATAATTTTTCCATACCAGAATGGGTTTTATGGAGATTTTTAGAAATTTCACAGGTTGAAATCATGAGTCAATTGAAGCTAGTGTTTGAAGAAACTAACTTCTAGTCTGAGCCATGTTGGTAGATTCAGACTACTTGGTTGGGGTCCGCGTGACTATCGGAACCAATGATTGGAGACTCTTGGTGACATCCACGATCGTGCATGCGCACTGCTGAGGAGTCCCATACTAGAACGAAACGGCTTTGGAGTGCTTTCAGGTTTTCCATGGTGGTCTAGCTTCAATTGACTCATGATTTCAACCTGTGAAATTTTTCCATACATTGATTTTGACTTTTATACTGCTAATTTTCTCTTACATTGTACTGTCATGAATTATGAATAATTTTTATTTATTATTCAATACACCAGATACAAATTAGTATAGTTAATGACGAGTCTAGTGATAATACACGTTAATCCAAACTGAAGTAGATAAGGCGAGATATAAATCATAACTGTCAAGTCAAAGTAACATTCTGAGCACCTTCAAACAATGTTATTTTAACTGTGATTGACTAATCATGTTCTGTACAGAGGACTGACGATAACCGTTTTCTTCTTATTAGATTCTAGTTCATTTTAATTCATTCAGATAGAGAAATTCTTATATTCAAAAAAAATTAAACATTAAATAAACTGTACTTGCCTGTGATACATTGACAATTAGTCTAACAAACATGTAGAAAAAGCCAAGAATCCAAAATAATGGTAAACGTAACCAATCTTTCCATGTAGTAATTATATAAGCAGGATGTTTTATCTGACTGACAGATTCATGATTAGGATTATCCACTTCATTGAATGAATTATGTAAAAGTGGTGAATAATTGTGCAAAAAAAAACTATTTACCGGTCTTTTATTAACATTTAAACAAAATTTTTAACGTATCGATTTATATAATTGGGAAAATAAAACATTATTATCTTAAAACTTAATTCAACTCAGATCACACTTGAAATAAACATATCATTTGTTATCAGAAGAAGGGTTTTGTGGAAACTTTAGTAATTTAATAGTTGAATTCATGAGTCAATTGAAGCTAGACAACTATGAAATATCTGGAAACACTGGATGGCCATTTCATCACATTGTGAGAGTCCTCAGCAGTACGCATTCACGATCCCGCCAAGCACGATTCGAACCTAGGACCTAGCGATCTCGTGTGCGGACGCGTAACCTCTAGACCACTGAGCCGGCCGGCGTTCAACGGTGTTAATGTTTAACTTCAAGCAATCCACGAAATTGCGCCACGATTCACTATTTGTAGTAAATTTTTGTAATCTAGTCTACGAAAATAAGATTGAGAAACATCGTATGTATTGTGAACTGAATAAAGTCACATTATTAGTTTGAGATTCAGTAGCGAATTAATATCGTAATAATCTTAAGTGATAAGGTTTATGGGTTCGATCCCATGAAATTATATATTATGGAGTTTTGACCATAAAAATATCCTTTCTAGTTTTTTCCATTATAGTTCCTCAGGAGATATTGATATACGATGAAAAATACTTCATTGTGGTAACTTTTGTCAAATGAACGTTCTCTGTACACTTCATTGATTGATAATTAGTGAAAGATATCGTGATTTCTAGTTTGTAATACTGATTGAATTCTATTCGTTAAGTTTCAATGTGAGTGATGTAAGATCTCATATACCGTGTTGAGATATTAGGTGATTGAAGGTAGTCGGCGATAAATCATATATCTAATTTTGGCGATTGTTGGTACTCGTTAGGGAACTATTAGTGACGCCAGAGATTACGAAGTTGAACGATCTGAGTTCGAATCCGACATTCGGTATCGATTTGCTTCAGTTTGCTGACGAGTAAACATATTACCACTGATGTGTAATATTCGCGATATCTATCTCGACTTCTACAAACTAGGATGTTACTTGAAACCAAATAACACTAATAGATTTTAACGATCAAATATCGATTTTAAATCCTCGTCTCCAGCCTTAAAGTAGCATCATTATTCATCATTATTGAGCAGTAGATTACAATACATTCAAACCCATAAACTCCACACATAACTTATACAGTTAAATAAGTGCTTTCACATTTATCGGTAATGGTATCTTTTTGTAATTGCCATGAGGTTCCTTCCAATGCACTGCTACATTAATACTATATTATAAACTATACTATATTATATACAATAGATATCAACTAAAAGTATGGACGCCAATATATGAAAGTTCTAATTCATATGATAATATTGATTCATTTTACTTGAGTAAATAATACGTAATGAATAGACATACACAACACCAATTCGGTTTTAAGTAAAATCAATTGTAAATCAAGTTAGAAATATTAATCTAATTTCTTAAATAAATTATAGTCACGCACGTAATTACTTGAAGAAGAATAGTAATGTAACAGACGAATTGTCTTCATTATTGCTCTCTCCCTCTCCACATATATATATATCGTCCTAGCTAAATAATTATTTCTAGTTCAGCCAGGGACCAATCTTAGTCAAACAGTTGTTGGGAACTAGGAAGCACTGGATAGCTGTTTCGTCCCAGTGTAAGACTCCTCAATAGAGAACGTCCATAACTCCACCAAAGTGTTCTAAATAATGAAATTTCCGTAAATCCTTCAAAGAAATCATTACCTAATCAACAGATGCGACAAACGGAATATCAGTGCACAGCAATCTACAGTCAACGTTCACTGAATATAACGGAGACGATGATGTTACCAGTTATTTAATCATCAATTCACGTAAAACAGATATTTAATGTGAAAGAATGATCTCGTAGCCAGGAGTAGGCCACTAGATAAAAAAGTTCAATTGATTCATCGATTTTTCGAAAAGAAAAACAGAAGTGAAGTTGCTTTGTGACCCATTTTCTCTGGTAATCAACAAGTTGTTAGCTGATAAGTAATTAAGTCTAATTATCTTGGTAGCAGTTTTAATTCACCAATTTATGAAGTTACTTGGTCAATGATTATATCTCCAAAAATAGACTCAAATTAGATATGGAGATCAGTTCTGCGCACATATTACCGGTCTAATCAGTATAGTCATTCACAGATTCTATGTAGTAAGTTTCTACACTATGACATTATGTATGAACGCACAATGAGCAGTGTGATGTGTTTCAAGCCACGGCTTATATTGATGTAGGTAATAGTGGTCAAATATAAAGTTAGGTGGAAAAAATGTTAAGTAGTAAAAATCATAAAATCAGTTTTGTTTATTCAACTTAAATATGGGAAAATATGTCGTTCATCCAACTTGATACCGTCTAGTATAGAACAAAAATCTCGAATATTCATACTTACGACTCTATTAAAAACAAAAGAGTAAGCATTAATTCTTGTATTCAGTTGCTATATCTTAAGTAATAATGTCATGTAATAAATTAATGTTCACTTAGTTTCAACAGCACTATATTGTATACTACATACAACAAGGGCTAGAAATTATTGGGTTTGAAAAGCTAGAAAACTTTGAAAGTGCAGATCGCTTTAAAACTCAAAACTATGGTGATATTAAATCACGATAACAATGATTCTCGTTACACTGTAGAAAATACCAACTACAATAGTTTCACTTCTGTACAACGGTCGTTTGAAACTTACTATTGATGTTTAGGAATGCAATTGATCAGTCTCTTTTGGCACATGTTCATCATGTACAGATTGTCTAGATATGACCAGTAATTCACGAGGATTTATTTTATTTTTTTAATCATAAACGGATGATGGCTGGCAGTGAAGTTAAGAACGAGCATCTCGTCCTATTTGGGAGTCATCACTTGAATGTACCTCCATCGTAGAGTTAATGTCCACCCCGGTACTCGAACCCACTCCACTGCTAACCACGATCCATCTCTACTCTAAAAAATATAATTCTTTTATTTTTTTCTCAATATTCCATTTAAACTATATGGACAAATCACACAATCATATACATTCAAAACAATACTTACCAATAGTTATAGGTCTTACATTGTGAATAAAATCTTTCTTTCTTACTCCAAAATGAAATAATAACATTGTTAATCCCCCAACACCAATAATTGTAAAACCTAACTTTTGAAAAGCTGGTATATCATCTTTACCAAAATCAATAATGGACGGTGAAGATAGTGAGGAATTTGAACATTTCGATAATGGATGTGAAGTCATTACCATAGGTAACATAATATATTCAACTTCATTGTAATTAAGCAATTTTCTCAACGGTAACATACCATTCATTGAGTTCTTAATACTAGTATCATTACGAATGTTATTATTATTATTATTATTATTATTATTATTATTATTATTATTATTATCAACATGATGTTGATGTTGTAAAAGAAGAAATGTACTAATATAAACAAGTAGATTACTAAGAACTGTGAATAAATAACGTAGGGAAGTCAATAAAGTACGTTCACTAGATTCCATAGATAATTCATTGATTAATGCCAAGTGAGTAATCTGAACTGCAGCCCATCCAGCCTAAAAACAACACCATAAACAATGGATTGATTAATTTATGTTTTCTATGATCAAATACCGAATTTTTTTAAAAAATAGTTGGTTATATTTCACGAGTATAACCCGAGGTTATTTGCAACACTTAATATGTCCAATAATTGTGTTATATATTAGTATAGGGTTGTTGTTGAGATTATTAAGTTTTTGATTGAGATCATGTTAGACACTATCATCATTGGATACCGGCTCAGTGGTCTAGTAAGTTAAGTGTTCGCGCGCGAGACCGAAGGCCCTGGGTTCGAAGCCCGCGAGCGGGATCCTGGGTGCGCACTGCTGAGGGGTCTCACAATAGGATGAAACGGCCGTCCAGTGCTTCCAGGTTTTCAAAGGTGGTCGAACATCAATCGGTTCATGATCTCAATAAAAAAATTGTATTATATTCAAAACTTTAAACGATTTTTCCGTTCATTTTATGGATGAGGGTTGAATGTTAGAGTGTGATTTTCATTGTGAAATTACTTACAAAATGATTATTTTTAAGTTTGAATTGCGTTCTTCTCGCGCTAAAGTCTCTAATAAAAACCAACCTTTTTGACTGCTATAAAAGTTATTTTCATATCGTCCTGCGAACATTTTAGTGTGCTATAATTTCACCTTATTCAGAGTATGGTTGCTTGAATAGTTTTACTTTGACCCTTATTAATAGTTCTTTCTTCGAAGGTACCCATTAACAGCAGCTGGTGACAGAAGAATAAAGGAGTTGTGCTATTCGCCTATTGAACAGTACCATAATGTTATTTCCCTTATCTCACGACATCAAAACTCATACTATTCATACTGATAAAATTTTTACAGAACGTCATTTATAGATAAATATACATTATCAGGTGACAAAGTATAAAACCTTGCAGTGAAATTTATGCTTCAAGCATGAACAGGTGAAGATTAAACGGCTTTACGACTAGAAGCGGAATCTAAGACACACACTTCATCTTATATGGGACTCGTCATTGGATTTACTTGCATCTCAGTATTGATGTTCACACTGGAATGGAGAGTCGATCATGGTTTGAACAGCTCAATAATAACTCCTCTAACCGTATAACTTATGCACTCAAAGCACTTAACCTTCTCTCATTTTACCAGTTTACATTAATAACCAAAAGTGATTAACTGCAAAATGACTGAAATAATATCGATATTTTCGAATAAATTTGGGATGAACAAATCACAGAAACTATTTTCATTCACTACAAAATTTGTCAATGAAATTTTTTTCTAAAAAACCAGATAGTTTAAATACAGTAATTACAAGGTTCAACTTGTAATTTAGTGTGACATATTTACAATTAGCTATTTCTATGTGGCTTAAAGCCCCATACCATATACGAGGCTTGGTGAGACTGCTACCCAGTTGTCAAGATCCAATCAGTTTTGAACCAACATCCTTGTTGTTCAAAACCAAGTGTTTTATCCCTTAGGTAGTTGTATCAGAGGTTAAGTGATAAATTATAAATTAGGGGGAATTTCTCATGTTTCGTAAAACTTGAACATATAACTAAGCGAAGTAAAAAAAGAAAGGAATTTAAAGTCAACAATTAGTTTGATGGTATTTCATGAATTGGAAAATATTTGTCTAGAATAAAATCCTTACACAATCAATTGTGAAACGGTAGCATAAGGGTTTAAATATTTGGCTTTCAACTGGTAGATTCATATCCCCCTTCACTTAATTTATCTAACAGGGTGGCATAGCTAGCCATCAAGCAACAGAAGTATAGCTCAAAATTGAGTACATAAAATTTGTATTTAACGCATCAGTGAATCAGTTATAAAACTAACAATTAAATAAAATATGAATAACTTACTTGAAAAATTGCCACTAATGGTAAATAATAAATCATTTTCGCCAGTGTACTAATATTGGATGAACCAAGTGGTGGACCAAATATTAAAGGAAATGAAAAAATAATTAATATACTTCCGCAAAGATGCCATATTTTACGACCAAATGGTCGAAATCTTCTTAGAACAGAGTTGAATCGTTGGAAAAAAGACGAATTATTATTATTACCAGTAGAATGAATAACATCAGAAGAGTCTGTAGACATGTAGTTTTTATTATGATTGGCTAAATGTTCATTAGAATCATGCAAACGATCATTGAAATTATTATGTGTAACTGATGATGATGCTGACAAAGAGTGGGAAGAAGAAGAAGATATTAACAACGGTACAGATGACTGAGATGAAAATCTGTCCGAAAGTAGACCAATTACTGGTGTCATCAAACCATCAACCAATTGGCCAACGAGTATTATTAAACCAGCCATACTTGTTGGTATACCAATGCCAAATTTAAAAAATACCAAAGTATATGTAAACCATACAGATGCGCACAAATCATTTAAAACATGTCCAATTGCATATGATAAACGTAAACGCCATGTTAATCCCATATTGAAATGAATTCAATCCTGAAATTAAAAGCAAGCTGAAAAGGAAGGGAAGAAAAAACATCGATATATGTAAGCAGTCTTAATGGATTTATATTAGTAGTATAAGGGATTTGTTGAAGTTATTGAGTTTACATCACGAATTGATCTTAGACAATTACGGGAACCTAGGAAACACTAGATAGTTATTTCGTGCTTACACGGGACTCTTCACCAGTGGGCATTCACGGCTACGCTATGGATTTAACACAAAATCTTTAGATTTCGAGGAGAACGCTTAATCTTTAAACTACTCAGTCGGCATTCAATAGCTAACATGTTTAATCTTAACCAATTTTCGATATTATGTAATCATTTTCTAATAGATATTACAATAGTTTGCCATTAAATGAGTACGAAAACTGGTAAAAAAATATCATACGTATTTCTATTTGTAATCGACCAAAACGAAAATATAACCAATGACCTGATCTACATAATAAATACATGAAGTAACCCGAATTTAGTAATATAATGAGTTAAGTGAAAAAAAATTTGTTTTTAGAGATTTTTGTCTGGTTAGTTCTATCGTCGGTTGAAAACGATTAATCGACTAATCACATGAAATGTTTACTTGTTTTTTTCCATAATTCAGAAGCACATTTATATGGTATAATAATAATCGATATGATTGAAGCTTACACATTAATCATAACTGCTTCATAGTTAAATCAATGATCTAATTACCAGGAGTTTAATTTGTTTGACTCATACTATCATTTAATGAACTAGCAGTAAAGATTGATTGATCACTTACAACATTAGATACCGATTAGCTAATAAGCTATACATGAAATATTTGCATAATATAAAAAGTACCGTTTGGCAGAACATAATCTTTCAAAAATCATAAAACACGTGTACCAGGTTTCTAAAACTTTATTTCGTCAACTTTAGAGTAGATGAATGACCATCCCTTTAAAAATACAGCCCTTTTGTAAGAGTATGCTTATTCAATCTCTGATTTCTTTATTCAGTCAAACTTTGTAAGTCCTCCGAGGGTCAGGCTATTCATGATGCTTTGTCGATTTTTTGTAGCTGATATTTTTCTCAAACCTAAATGTTTAGTCAGAATCGTGCGCTTAAGCGATTGTCCAGAGTTCAGTTCATCACCGATTATCGGAAGGTATAAGTTGTCTCATACATCCTGTTTTCAATAACAAAAGTCATAGAATATTTTAACCTTGAGCTAACCTTACAGTTTTTACAGGACTCACTGAAATACTTGATACAATGAAGTTATTCCCTTGAATGGATTATCTCTGCAAACAAACATTAACGTCTCATGAACTGACAAGAGAGCATTAGTATACTATAAGAACACTGGACAGCTGTCCTATGTTTTGGACACTGTTGGGGGATAACAAACTGCTATATCCTCGACTTTAATTATAATTCTACAGTTGATGTCATTCTAGAATAAATGGTTACTTAATACAACAAAGAAATAATTAAATTTCGATGTTGAAACTGGTGAAACATGAAAAATTCCAATCATAATAACAAAACAAAAGATAGTAAAAATTCAAACAAACTGAATACATAGTGTCATTTAATCCTATTCAAACAGTTACTACTTTTCATAGATGGCTTTTATCGTACACAGATATCGGTCTGAAAAGTAATGAAAATTCAGGAAGTGATCAAAATTCAGCTAGTCCCAATCTGAGTTTTTCGACAGTTTACAATTGATTAATCACTGAGTACTGAACAATATCATGTTTTTGTTCAGTCCTTTAGTACTGACTCAATGATATCGATTAAGCTGGAATGTAGTCACTTGTCTGAATGACTTGACATTCTATACCCTAATAGCTCAGAGGCAACAGTTGACTGTGAATCAGAGTGACGCATGTATGAGTAAAACAATTCCGTCAAGATTTCCCTTAAGCCTTACTGGGGTGTGCTGACTAGCAGAAAGCATAAATCAATATCTCCCAACTACTATCTCCAATCACCCTAACGTTTACCAATTCTAAATTTATCTATATTAACATAAAGCTATTACAAATGTTTCATAGATGCTGTTAGTAATCTTCTATTGTACTATATAGAAATCGTTTCAGAATATATCCAGTATACTATAAACAGTGGTTTGTTTTTGATATTTTTATCGACTTTAACGACTTTAATTAAGTGCTCTCTATTGGGATATGTTCATCCTGTGAGCATTGTCTTGATGTTCTTATCTCATCACATGATTTCATTTTATTCGGTTAGTAATATACCTGTTTAACAATCTAATAGCTACTCGAACTCAATCGCTTAAAGGATAATGAATCAATATTTGAAGCGTAAGTTATTAAATTAGATTCTCAAAGTTAAAATCAACAAACAGATGTATATACAGCTAAGTGAAAAGTTATAGTTAGGATGAAACATAACTCCTGAACTCTATTATTACTCACAATCAAATTATAATCTATTTGTTATGTTTTAGTAAAATTAATGTTAAGCATGAGTATCTAATTGAAAGCAAGAGCAACATATTCACAACTGAAGAACATCTGGAACTCAAAACAACTGTCAACCAACACTAAGGTCAGAATTTTCAATACGAATGTCAAGACAGTTCTACTGTATGGGGCGGATACCTGGAGAACTACGAAATACATCATTCAGAAGATACAAGTGTTTATTAACAGTTGTCTACGCAAAATACTTCGGATCAGTTGGCCAGACACTATTAACAACAACCTAATGTGAGAGAACAAACCAGATCCCAGCGGAGGAAGAAATCAGGAAGAAGCGCTGGAAGTGGATAAGACACACATTGACGAAAGCACCCAACTGCGTCAAAAAGCAAACCATCGCTTGGAATCCTCAAGGCCAAAAGAGAAGAGGAATAGCAAAGAACACATTACGCCAAGAAATGGAGACAGACATGAGAAAAATGAACAAAAATTGGACAGAACTGAAAAGGAAGGCCCAGGGACAGAGTGGGTTGGAGAATGCTGGTCGGCATTCTATGCTCCATTGGGAGTAACAGGCGTAAGTAAGTAAGTAATAAGTATCTAATTAATACTGGTAAGAGATTGAACAGTTGATAGTTTATATTATTGTTGAGAATAGAACATAGTAATTCTTATATTTACTAACTTTAATCCAATACAACATTAACACTTTCAGTTAATGTTGTAATAGCTTCCCATGTTCCTTATACTGTGATAGATTTGAATAACATACAGATTTCTTATATGTATATTCGTTTGTTCACTTTTTTCTAAGTTAAAAACTACCATATAGTGATTCATTACATTTTATACTGTAATTATAAATGTTTTAGTTTATTCTTATTTGTTAAATAACTTCCTGTTTATATTTAAATTGAAGTGATACATTATACATTATTGAATATTATAAATTTAATAATTAAAGGTAATTATAGATAATCAGAGATGTGGGATTATATTGTGATTATAATTCCGGCTAGTTATCGTGTAGTTTATTCACCAATCAAAATATGACTTGCATTGTATTAAACCAATGACGTTCAACCGGTCTGATCAGCTTAATGTCCTTTACTAGCCTAGCCCATCCAATTGAGTTCAACACACCGATAACAGTTCCTGTTATGAGAATCATTTATTTCAAATATACTTGGTTTATATATCAACCAAACAGACGGTATCGCACCACAAAATAGGAAATAACATTTATACAAGATCATGCCAAAAAGTTGCTGTGAACGTGGGAGACTGTAATTAATAAACTGAACATAACTTAAGAACAGTAAATCGTATAATGATAAATTCTAGGTATAAATGAAGCTTATAATAAGGTAAATATAAATATACATAATCGAATTACTGAATAGTTATACTATAAAGAATATATAGATAATATTAGTCCGCTATTAGCTCTCAGAAGTTACTCGTAATTTAACCTTCGCTAGGATATAGCATATAATGCTATATTAACATAAAATGGTTGTAATTAGTAGATTGAAACAAATGAACTATAATTAAAAAAAAACTCGGATGAGATTATGCTTTTTGAAAGAAAGTTTAGATTTATGAGAAAACAGAAATTAATAAATGGTTGTTTTGTTCTAGTCTATAGAACTTTTTAGTAGTAAACACATACACATGAGACCTTATTTTGTGTCAAACCCAAATACTTCTAAATTTTACGACGAACATGATATCAATCAGTCAGTGATATTGGAAACTAAAAGTTTACACACGTTTGACTTCAGTTATTTTACAATTATATACTAATTTCATTCAATATTACTTATAAATGACAATAGTACTTGTATGGTGTGTGCTACTTATATTGACATAAGTAGTATATGATGTTAGTCGTGAACAGAAGGTGTGGCAGCAGAGAGACAAGATGATCGAACAGTAAAGAATGGAAACAAAATGCAATTTGTATGAAAATGCAAGAACAATGAAGTCTGAGTTATTTTAAGACAATTGGTGGACATTTTGCAAACTAAGCATTTACTTTATGAATGTTAGATTTTATTAACAAGTCCTGTAATTTTGTGTCAAATACATTCGATTGTCCCCACCCATGTTTTGTTCACTAAACTAGCATCGACTTGTGTAAACTCGCAGATCATAGTGTTCTATTAAAAATGCTGGGAACCCTTCTCAAAATACTAATCATGTGCTCTCAGATTACTACTAGATTTTCCAAATTATATCATTTCGTGATGATAAACATCTACAAATTGAATTAACCTCTAAAAGCATAACAGTTAAATAACCAATAGTTTTTATCAAATCTTCCATTGTTCAAAATTAGTAGATGGTTACTAACAAGTGTGTATATTCAATCTTGTATAAATAGTATTTACATAATTGTTAACGTGAAATATATAACCACTTGTCAATGTAAGAGCTTACTAACGATTTTATGAATAACATTAAATCGCTAATAATAAAAAGTAACATTAATTATGTTTAAGAGAAAATAAACTATTTGCTAAATGAGTCAAGCGACGACATAGACGC